CAGATGAATTGTAGACTGTAGACTGACTTTGAGCTCTTCTAGCAAAGTTAACAAAGTTCTTGTAAAGTTAGAGTGTACTTTACAAGAACTTTGTTAGCTGATTCTAAATGCTTTTTACTCTAAAATACTGTAATCTAATGCTACTTACTGTATTTAAAGTTTTCATAGTAGTTTTCCAATCCTTTTTTTTTGACGTTGTGCTCTTTTTTGTCTTTGATCGAACTTGGGACTCATTTGTGCTTAAGGCTTTCAATACAATTCAATTTTGATTTTGATTAATACAGATTGCTATAAAATTTTTTGGATTTAAAATTTTTAGCAAGCTGGCTCAATCCGTTTTCAATATATAAAACTCTATAACAAAGAAAGGGTTGATTAGGGATTGTGAGAAAATGTGGTAAATTCTCGAAGACCTAATTTTTGTTATAAAAACGTCAGGATTGGCTTGTAATCCATGACTTCTTCTTGCTTTCAAAGATTCCACCAGGTAATTTTTATTGTATTTCATCTGGTTTAACGAAATTTTCCACGGTCCTCTTTGCTGTGTTTTCCCGTCGCTGTACTCGCTGACAGGTAAACTTTACTAAAGTATTGCTACAGTATTCATCTTTCAGAAGCACCCTATGACCCGTATTCATCTGATTCTGGATCCGATTCTTCATCCTAGCCCCATCGACTTTCGTCTCTTCGCATGCCGTCCCTTTTCCACCAGCTCTTGTCCCTTCATATTCTGTCCATTCCTACTAGATTGATGCAAAAAAAATTTCGTTTTTTTGCAAACATTAAATTCTGAGTTGTTGTAGCAACTGGAGCAGTGGTAGCAACTGGAGCAGTGGTAGCAACTGGAGCAGTGGTAGCAACTGGAGCAGTGGTAGCAACTGGAGCAGTGGTAGCAACTGGAGCAGTGGTAGCAACTGGAGCAGTGGTAGCAACTGGAGCAGTGGTAGCAACTGGAGCAGTGGTAGCAACTGGAGCAGTGGTAGCAACTGGAGCAGTGGTAGCAACTGGGACCACATGGACCAGTTGAACAAGTTGGTAATGGTAACTCATATGGATCGTACCCCGTTCCATCTATTATCCACCTGGTCCAGCTTATAGAAAATAAAGAGCTTTGAAGAGATGATGAATTCAAGTGCACACAAAAAGCTAGAAAGTTCTTATCTTTTTTTTTCTTCAAAAACCATAAAACTTTCACACTCTCCAGCTCATCAATTTTCTACTCACTCGTGAAAATCTAAAACAAACATATCACATTTTTTCGCAGACATTCTCAAAATTTTTTTTGCGAACAGCTGTTGTTTTTCTTTCTTTTTCTGTGTCGATAAGCGAAAATCAACAAAATCTCGTGGGTGATTTTTCTTGCGAAATTTCTCCCCTTTCCACCATCGAATCAACAAATCTCTCTGAGGATTTCCCCCATAAATCCCCATGCAATCCATTTCTTAAAAGCTCAAAACTGTTATTTTTTTGTGAAATTCGATCTGCTAACTCAGCAAATAATCTATTACAATGAAAGTTTTTCGTTCGCTCAATTGTCCGCATTGTAATTTGCCATGTAAGTTTTTTCGACAATCAAGAAGTTTTTGCTAATCAAAATTTCTGAAGTTTTAGAACGGATTTAATGAAGAAATTAGATTAAAACTGAATCAAATTCAGTAAAAACACGTTATCACTCAAAGATTAATTTTGATCAGACTTAAACTACTGTAACTAAGGGACTCTATGAGACTATTAGGCACTTCAAAGCGAGTCCCAGCTACCGCAACCTTAACGCACTTTTACAATAACTCAAGTACCTTGCTAAAGTAATACAACCTATTTATTTAGATCTAGAAACGCAATGACATAGCTATAATGGAAAAGCCATGATGTCAAGAATTAAGTTACGGTAGCTGGGAACCTCCTAGAGAGCCTGCCCGGCCCAAGTCGACGGCTCAAAAAATCTACCATTGATCAGCGTGGTGCCTGGAGTCACTCAACAAAAATCCTTTCGAAATATTTTCGATAAATTCGATAAATTAAGTTCTCCCTCACACCGATGATCCTCGTTCCCCTCGTCAACTTTTTTGTGATGTCGTCCTTTGCAGTGAATGCTTTCTAAAGGAGAGATCCCTCGACAAATCCAAGCGATCTCATCAATGCACTTTCACGAATTGTCTATCGAATCAATTAATTTTACCGCCTTATTTCCTAAATGGTTTTCGAGTTGCTTATTTGAATCTGACGATAATTCATTTCAGAGCTTCTCATCAACGAATCACTTAAGCTTTCCGCTGAAAATCAAGGCTACATTCTTGTCAAACCACTTCATTTGCCCGAATGTCCGATTTGTCAAGAGGAATGTGAGGATTGAAAGTTTTGAATTGAAAAGCTAAAAAATGATTAGAATATCTTATGATTTCGAAAACTCTGTTCGTTTTCTTTAAAATGAGCTCAGCGGTTTACCAATTTAGCGGAATGCGTAAAAGAATTTTACGAAAAAAAAGAAAAAAAGAAGAAAGTATGCGAAAAAGGAATCGTTTACTTCATAAGAAAGTATGCGAAAAAGGATTCATTTACACAAATTTCACTTTCTCATGTCAAAATCAGTTGCCCATTTTGGAAATTTTTGCATTACTTACAGCTGGTAATATAGAGAATATAGATTTCCAAAAACTTGTTCCTTTCTGTAAAAAAGGGATGAATTTTTGAAAGTTTCAGACTCAATCGATACCGAACCTTTCCAACCTTTCCGTCTTCGTTGCAATCATCTCATTTGCAATGCATGTTTTGAAATCATTCGTAAAAGTTCCGCGGAAAGCTCGGATCAATTCAAGTTCAAAGTTATGTGTCCGATTTGTCAATCTGTATGTCTTCGATCGAAAGAATGCGTGAAAAAGAACAATGCTTTAAAAAGTAAACTTTCTTAAGGTTTACCACTAAAAATCTCCTAGATTTCCAGATTTTCTCCGAGAACTTCCGGAAATGCTCAAACAAATTGAGGATTTAGAAAAAGAAGGGGTTTATTTGAAAATTTGATTTCTTTTAAACGCACTTTAGAAAGCAAATGATTCAAAAGATTGCTGTGAGAATTGCAAGAAGAGTGTTTGTCTTAAAAAATAAAACATTACCTTTTAAAATTAGACTTTAGTTCTCATTCTCGCAAATGTTCAGCTGTTTCGATTGTAATGAAAAGGTTGGAGAAATTTTAATCTGTTATCATAGCTCAAAAGATCAAAGTTCCGTTATTAATTGTAAAAGAAAATAATCGCTATATTTGCTCAAGAAATTTGCAAGCTCAAGCTCGGCTTTTTTCAGATTTGCGGTGCTTGCGCTTTTCGAAAACATCGCTCGCACACGGTTGTCGATTTGATTGTTAAGGAGGTAAACCAATTTCTGATTTGAGTTGTGCTAAGCTGTAGGATAGCTTTTTTTTACTTAAACCTAGAGTCAGGCCTTCTAGGGACCTCAATAAAGCACAGAGCGTCTGTCTCTCAATCCGAGGATGCGGGGTTCGACCCCGCCTGCAGCCATTTTTTTTTGGCGAACAGCCCTTAATTCCCAACTCTACTAGTCCAGAAGTTCGGAAAAAGACAGTACTTATAGTTAGAAGTACGACCAACTAGTCTAGTCTGTTTAGAATAGCACCAACAGAAGCAAACACACTGCTCCAACTACTTAACAGCTCCAACTACCTCCAGCTCCACTTACGTTTTTTAAAACTCAGTCGCAACTTTTAAGAGAAATCAATGAAATTCAGCTTTAGCTAGTAGAAAATCTTTGTACTAAACTTTACTGTACATTTTCATTTAGAAGTTGCTTAACGTCGTGGCAAGTCGAGCAATTTCCCGATTACTCTTTCCAGCGTGTTTACATACTTTGATCTGTTCTTTCTCGAAGTTCGAGAGCTTTGCGATGAATCACTTTGCGATTTCTGGAGGTGTTGACTGTTCTTTTTCTGCCCCTTCCTGGACGATCTCCATCGTTGCCAAGCTCCTTGTATCGCTTAATCGCTTAATCGCTCATTTAGAAGTTGCTAACCGTCGTGGCGCTTTATCTGCAAAAGTAAAAAAAATGGCATTTCAACACTCCAACTAATTATAGAGCCACTTTGATTTTTGTTTGTAGTTGTTTTTTTTGTTTTCCATTTACAGTCGACTCTCTCTATAAATGGAATGGAAGGAACCAAAAAATTTTTTCGTTATATAGAGCTTTCCATTATATAGAGTGCCGTTATACAGGGTGCCCAGAAATAACGTTGTGGGATTTTCGGCAGCCTAAAATCCTCAAAGTTTCAATTTTGGGAGACAAATTTATTTTTAACCTATTCTCTGTGACTGTTTTTATTAGTTTCTTTGTTGTTTTACTTTGTTTCAAGTCTATTCATTTTTTTATAGGATGACAAACAAGGGATCTGCCATTCTGGAGCTTCATCGTCAAGGTCAATGCGCGAGTGCGATCGCGCGATTGCTACGTGTTTCTCATCAGCTCGTCTCAAAAGCGATTAAGCGATACAAGGAGCTTGGCAACGATGGAGATCGTCCAGGAAGGGGCAGAAAAAAAAACAGTCAACACCTCCAGAAATCGCAAAGTGATTGATCGCAAAGCTCTCGAACTTCGAGAAAGAACAGATCAAAGTATATAAACACGCTGGAAAGAGTAATCGGGAAATTGCTCGACTTGCCACGACAGTTAGCAACTTCTAAATGAAAATTTACAGAAAGGCTTAGTACAAAGATTTTCTACTAGCTAAAGCTGAATTGCATTGATTTCTCTTAAAAGTTGCGACTGAGTTTTAAAAAAAAACTTAAGTGGCTCTATAATTAGTTGAAGCAGTGTAATCCAATCAGAGCAAATCGAGCTAGTCAGCTAGAAAACGTCGTGAAGCCTTGAAACTCTCTATAGAAGCAATTCAGATTGATAAGATCATTGATGAAACGAGCAAATCGGTGTCAAGCCAAATAAGTTGTTACAAAGAAATCTTCCCACAATTACATCAAGATCTCCTCGATAATATCTCC